AAGAGTAGATTTGTGACTGGCCGCCAGTGGCCTGTTCAGCCTGTTCCCCAAAAAAGATGAGGGAAAAGTAGTCAGAAAATTATAAATGGTGTACTCACCAGCTGTAGAGTTTTTGCTTGTTGAGTATCAAAGGCTGGCCATGAAAGTGGAGATTCTCGAGAAAGTGGGCTCACGAAAAAATTCCTCTGGCAATGGAAAGCGTCAGAGTAAAACCGATTTAACCAGGCGATCTTTAAGCCAATCAGTTTAAGTTACCGGAGGGTTGTTGAGGCTGTACTGTTGCTTGATCGTTACATGAGCACTTGGCTACAATACATTATGGATGTTTTTAAATCATTAAACAAATCCAACGAGATGTCGTTTGCATTGAAAAGTTACGGTGATGGGCCTTCTCTTACTTAATTACACAGTCAGGGACTGTCAACATGTCCAGTTGTAAAATGATAATATCATAGACCGCATGTTCATCCATTTTCATCCATTTTCCAGGTTCTGTGTTGGATTTGGACTTGGCAATACTGCCAGGCAATTTCGGTCAGGTTACTGCATTCATATTATTTTCGGAAGTTTTGAAGCTCCAAGACTCACCCGATCCGGATCAGTTGTGGGCCAAACAACTCAAAATGACCAGATTTGTAGCATGCTACTATAGTTGTTTAGTGGTCTCTAGGTTCTTTCAAACGGAGACAATATGATAACGGACTTTTCAATCCGTGGGAGGCATAAAGAGCCTGAAGAACTTCACGAAGATCAAACATGATCCAACACTAAACCAGTGGTTTCTCAGTGGCTAAGGGAATACGCCATTGCCATCAAAACATCAAAACATATCATTGTAAATTTGAGGAATCTAAGATATTAATTGCTATGTATCCTCATTATAGGTCCCATTTGTGTTTCCAACAACAAAACATCGTTGTTGCAAAACGCTGTTGTTCAGTCTGTTTTGGGCTCCCGAACTCCAACGAAGTTACGCAACGGCCAGGAGAATTTCCAACGCCACGAGACAGGCGTCAACTGCGAGCGGAACCAGCTTAGCTGTTGGGAATCACTTGGCAACAATTCGTCAGTCTGGATTCACTTGAAATGATGATTAGTAAGATTTACCCTCTGGTTATTTGTTACATAGCCATGGAAAATGGCCCATTTATAGATGGTTTACCCATTAAAGATGGTGATTTTCCATGGCTATGTTAAATCCATGGCTATGTTAAATAACCAGAGGGTAACATGGGTAATCCCCCAACAAACACCAGGTTAGTGAGTTGCTATCATTCAACTACTCGATGAGAATTTTGCGTCAAGAACAACTGGATGTCATTGTTTTTTCCCTCTGGTAGGCAGATGTCCTAACGAAACACCCAGAACTCAACAAGGGAGGCATGCGTAGACAAGCAATGAGCTCATGTATCAAGTGCAAGCGCTTCTAGGAACCAACAAGTGAAGCTAATTCAATACGTCTTTTTTTCTTTCACACAGGCATCCCAGATGGTTGGGAAACCATTTATAAACCATGGTTAGTGGGGTAGTCACTAGGCTACCAAAAAACCCAGGCCGTGTCGTGTAGACAGGTCATTCCTAGTTTCTCGCTGTCCAGCGCACCCATCAATTATGTTACCCTCTGGTAAACTAACATAGCTATGGAAAATCACTACTTTTTAATGGGTAAATCCACTATAAATGGGACATGTTCAATAGCTATGTTAGTTTACCAGAGGGTACACTAATGACTTTCATAGCTGGGGTAATTTTCAAAGACTTCGGTGAGAAATGGTGAGTAATACGGGTGGGTTATACCCCATTATGATGTGCAGAAAAATTCATACGCAACGTACGCACATCATTCTACTTGTAGATTCTCTTAACAGCAATGTGAAATATGAACATTCCTGAGAACACTGTGGTTGCGGACGCTGATCTTTTTTCCTGGATCATAGCAAGGTTCGTTTGCTTCTTTCACAGCGTTCATATAAAGCAACTCTCTATAGGATACATTACTGTAGGAATTTCAAGATTTAGCGCCAAAGCCAAAAAAAATACATGGTCGACATCTGAAAAACCCAGTCTCATACCTAACATAAACTGACAAACATCTAGAATGATTCGATGAAGAACCAACATAGCTATGTGGGAATGGACTAGACACGCGCCTTGATCATCTTTGCCTCGACAGGTTGAGCTGCCACAGAGGCCTGGAACATCCAGGTCTTGAACTTCCAGAAATCAATTCCATGGCTGGAAAATTATGATTTTTTTTCTGCTTCGATCAATGGAGAATCATCGTAATATATCATGGAGATGCCCATTTATGGGGATTTGACTCTCCACGCCAGGTATGTGGGATTTAACGGGATGTAATAGTATTTGGTGGGTAATCACACTGAAATGGACAATTCCCCCTGTAGTTCGATGATTTTCCCATTAAACCACCGATGATTAATAGGATGTTCAATTGCCCTATAGGATTCCCGCGGGGTAAACATCCGAATCATATCTTCATTTGGCATCCCATTCATAGGCATGTTGGACGTCGGATTCACAATCCTTAACTAGTCCCATCCCCCCAATATTCAACGGTCCCAAATAGGTGTAAATTTCCATGGTTTCTGGGAGGTGCTTAATATGGGGGAAGCCAGGGATTGCTTGCAACATCCTGCAACCGCCACTGCGGCAAGGCACGAAGTGCAACAGTGGCAGGAAGAAGTGAAAGCCGCTGGGCCGAAGACAGTCTGGCAGATGTTGATGAAAGCGCTTGGCAGAGCATGTCTGAATCTTTGAACGAAACCCATGAACTTCATTGAACATCTGCAATCTCGCTGCTTTTGATTTTATGGGTACACTTTATTTTGAATAGCGGCCCACAAGCAACTAGTTTATGCGGCGAGGGAGGAGCCTTCATTCATTGGAAAATTGAAAAATTGTTTAAATTATGAAAAACAAAACAAAAAACAACAAAAAACAAACAACAAACAACAAACAAAAAACAAACAAATAAACAAACCAATACAAAAAAACACAAAAAAAAAACACAACAAAAACAATTAAAAAACAATAGGAGGGTTTTTTTTTGTTTTCCTAGGGAAAAAAAACAATCCAAAAAGGAGGTACCACAAAAAAAAAGGAGTACCACGAGCCGCCGCGGGCACCCCCTAGACTGATTGCTTGCCCCCCATCAAGGGCAATAGGCACTGTTTGAAGCTTTGACTAGGCAGCCCTTGTTGGATTTTGGGATTCTTGGTCGCAGCTTGGCAGCAGGCAACGCAGCAGACTGTGGACTTTGAGAGCAAGTGGTATCAACAAGCTGCGGCGATTAGGGAGAAGCACAAAGTCTCTCTGAGTTTCAAACCGTGCGCTGTTTATTCTCTCTCTCTCCATCGTTTATAGTTTTTTGTTTGTTTTGTGTTGGGTTTGTTTTTTTGGTTTGTTTGTTTTTTTGTTTGCTTTTTTGTTTTTTTGTTTTCTTTTTTGTTTTTTTGTTTTTTGCTGGTTTCCAGTAAAATGAAGCATTTTGCGTCATAAGAGTAAGTTAAAAATCAACGACTCAGCAAATCAAGGATGCAGTTTGGGCCCACTCTGCGCGTTCACCTTGGTCGATTTGAGCGCCCCGCGAAACCATTCGCTGGGAAAAAATAGCTCATCACGACAGGTACAGGTGGCATTTTCCATATGCTCATGCCAGTAGCAGAGTTTCACCTCATGCTGCTCGCAGCGAAATGTCGCGCGGCAGCTCTCACGACACCAATCTGAAGCGCGGATTCCACTGGCGGCCTGTTTGAGATCTAATCGAGCCAGGCTTTCGAAGTTCAGGGGACTTGGGACCGTCGTGACGGCAGGGGCCGCTACGGCTACGCCGGCGCCATTGGGCCGCGGAGCGTCGGGGCGCAGTTGGAGTCGAGTAAAGCAAGAGAAGTCTTCAGTCCTTGCTGCAAGAAAAGCCAAGACGATCAAATTGGCTGCAGCGCAAAAGGACAACGCCACCGTTGATAAACGTCCAGTCCAGTCATGAGGAACGTGGCCGGCCTTGAAGCTAGTGGAACTTGACATGCCAAATGACTGCGGGTGAAAATGATCTGGCTCTTCCAAAGTTGGTTTCACGAGTTTATATAAGAAAGTAGCTGTGTGAATTTGGAGTCCCTAGAAATGGACTTTTGCGGGTTGATCTGCTCCCACATCTTAGTCTCCCTAGATGTGTTGGATAGAAATTCACCGCATCAACCAATGCATTCAACGAAATTTTCTGGGGGTAGGGCACCGTCTTCCATACCCAACAGGACCCAACAGCGATACAGTACCCATATCTGCTGAATCAGGGCACTTAGCGTCCCCCTTTTGAATCACAACAGGGTACAACTACTATGCCCTCACATCTAAAAGGATGCAAATAAAATCACCCAAAAACAGCAAACACGCAAAATAAAAGCAGACCGTAAAAGCATGGTTAGGGCGCTCCTGCTGAGGAAACACAATTAAATGACAAAATTCTGAATGGCCAGCACCATCCGGGAAAAACACATGAAGCGGGGCCGATTTCCAACCCTCTTAGAAATCAACGAGGAACCTCAAAGACGACCAAGTCTGGAAGATGGCATTCCTCGAAAAGTGCCATCTTGGGGTTCCTCTCGTGAAGTTTTAGTGTATCCACCCGATCTCTGCCTGAAGTTATCTGACATCTCGTACTGCGGATTCCTGAGGCTCCAGGGGTGCCATTTTTCCATGGGACATACAATGGATGACCTGGAAGCACTGAGCCACCCATGGTAGAAACCTGGGAACAGGATGGGTAGTCGGTCACAAGCTGGAAAACAGGCAAATTACCTATGGTATCCTATGGCGAGGTTCTCGCGAAGTATGAACCTCTACCAAATAATGATGTTTATGGTTTGCGGTTTATACCCACTACATCCCGGTACCATCTATCTAAGGGTTTCTAAGGGTTGCTTGCGATTGTGGGTTTCATTTGTACGTACGCATGGCCGATGCTTTTTGGCTCACACACAGAGCTACAGCAGCCAGCGCTGTACCAAGCGGCAGAAAGCAGGAGCGGTGCAGTAAACAAAGGCAGCGGGGCCTCGGCATTGGGACAACCACCTCGATATTCACATTGGGACAGTCATGATGTCATGAGGAGAAAACATGAGAAAACCAAAAAAAAGAACAAAGTGGACAGAAGTGGAAAAAAAGAACTCAAGAGCATCATTGCTTTTCTGCGGTTACAGCCAGCCTATTTGGTTTTGTCCAAAGTCAAGTTATGCTAATTACTCGTACAAACAGTTGAGACTAGATAGTCCACTAAAATCTGTTAAACCAAACTATTAGCCCACGATTTATATAACATCATTTTAATGGCCATGAGAACAATAAAAAAAATAATAATAAGGTGAAATCACCAATCAGCAATGTTCTTTTGGGATCCATTTGTAGCGTTGAAGTTGAAGTTTGGAAAGGTCAAAGTTCCCATTGTATATCCCGATTGTCCTTGGTCAAATCCCGTTTTCTGCGTTCAGCAAGTCCTCATTTTCGCTCGTTGTTTTTTTCTATTTGTATCATGGTTAGATCATATCAAATATGTCAAATCCCGTTTTTCTTGGTTGAACATCCCAAGCTTTTTATTGGGTGAACAGTCCCAACATTTTTGCCACCAAAATCACCGGTGTTTGTTTAAGGGCGACCCAACTCGCTGGCACAGAGGTTGATGACCTCGCAGCGAGGGGGGGTCCACCATGAAATGTTCGTTGAAACGATGTTTGATTACCATAAACAAAGGGAACATAATACTAGGGCGTTTTCCCTTGAAACTCATATCATCAACACATATCAGAAACCTGTAGGTTTCTGATTTATGTTGATGCTAACTGTACTAGTAGCTTTATAATCCCTTCTTTCAAAAGTAGTATGCTCCCATCCCCTACAGATCCTACAAAGCATAACCCCCTACAAGAACGGACGGGCACGACCATCCCCAGCATTTGCACGAGAATCTGAAAGTGTCAGCAGTACTAGTGGTCTGTGACTAGGTGGACATGGAAACCAAGAACTCAAACGGAATGTGTGGAACATACCAGGTAACCAGGTAACGTGCCCCATCTATAGATGTGTTTCCTCTTGAGAAATACTTTCTCATTGCAATACATGATACGGATCCCGCATACCTTTTGACATGCCCAAATCCCTGCGTCAGGCTAGCGATGTTTAACAACAACAAACCCTAAAACCCTGAAACCCTAAACCCCCATGCCTATAACTCTAAACCCAAGAAGTCTGAAACCTGAAAGCCTAAAATCAAAATCCCTCTCTATAGCCACTGTTTTTGTTCATCATGCTGTTCATCCTCTGGTGACAAACGCGGGGTTCGCAAACTTCCAGGCAATTTGCTATCCACGTCTGGAAATGGCCATTCAACATCATTGAACATGAACCTGGCAGAACCAGCACCAGACTTACAAAGTATATATAATATTAGAAAATCCCATGGAAAACCTACCATTCATAGATGATTTTCCCATGGAAATCCACCATTTATAGATATTTATCGTGGATTCTCCAGCCATGTTGGATGATTTGTTTCCTTAGATTCTCCAAGTCTCAGTGAAAATGGATAAGGGTCCAAGGGTCCCAAAATAATGTGTGAGTGCATCTATGTATAGTGTCATATACTATCCCATTTTTCTATAGGTACTTGGAGGGTCTAGGTGTAATCATTTAGGAGTTTAAGTAATACTTAGTGACTTAGTGGATCAACTGGCCTCGCGTGGATCGTTGGGCAAAGGCTCCAAACAGAGCATGCACCTGGGACACAACCGGGGCTTTCCAGGGATTTGTTCAGGAACATGTATTTACCACTTCATAAATATTGGATTTTCCCGCTGCATTCCTGCAAAAAAATTGTCATCCAATTCCGGTAAATGTTGAAATTGGATGTTCCCAGAGTTCAAGATCTTCTTTCTTGTTCCGCTCAGAACTGGATCATAAGCGTTCACAACTGGCATATAACGGCGCCACCTCTCCTGAAAATTTGGCTGACCTTGGATCCTGCCAGATCCTTCCAGGACATTCTGTGACTGAGATCCGTGGCTGCCGTGGCTGTGTGTTTTGAACCATTATCCCCCTGATCATCTCAGCCAGATCCCCCTGATCCGTGGCTATTATTTTGGAACTGAGACCTGAAACATGGAAGGTGTCCACGATTTTTTTACCCAATTTTGGCTAGTTTGATGCTCGTGCACCTGTTCGACAAACCAACCAACTCCGACAGGGCATGACACCAAAGAGTATGTCCCCTATTTAGTGGGTTTTTAGCATGTTTAACACCTGCTGTTGCGAGATAACCGCCATTCAAAAGTTTTGAAAACCAAAGGGTATATTGGGTATAATTATCGTGCTATCCGGTTGGTGAAAACAACATTTTTGTTGCGCCTCAATCAGGCTCAATCATCATGTTTGTCAGGTAGCCCCCCAAACATCACCCCAAACTTCCCACGCCATTCACCAGCAGGTGGTACCAGCTAGATAGCCAAGTTGGTTCATAACTAGTTTAAGCTGACGGACTTCAAAAAGTTCCATGAAAGTGAATCGGAAAATATTTCGATATGTGAAATCGTTCCAATGGCGGTGGGAAAACCCACGCGAGTTGTTGAAGACAACTGCGACATTCATCAAGCAACTGTCTTGATTCGACTTCGGGCCTCTTGAAGAAGAAAAAACGCTGAGAGGGTTGTCGATGGAAAAGTTAAACCCTCAAGTTCGGAGACCCCTTTTTTTCAGTCAAAATTGACGTTTCGCTATGGCGAAACGATAATTTAGTAATAAATATGCGGACAGTGAAATTTCCGCCGGGTAGTTTAACTATGGTTCATGGCACAGTAGATATAATGAACCATAGTTATATATATATATATATAGTTATATCATATCTAAAACTCACAGCTCATGGGGGGACAACTTCTGCTGCGGGTGCTGAGGAGCCGGGCCCTCCGAGTTCCTAGTCATGAGCCGGGCATTTGCACATCTTTGAGCAGACAACAGTGGGATTCTACATGATTTTACCATCATGAATTAGGGAATGATGATGATGGTGGTGATGATGATGATTATGATGGTGATGATGATGATGATGGTGATGATGGTGATGATGGTCACGGTCATGGTCATGATGGTGATGGTGACGATGGTCATGGTGATGGTCATGGTGGTGGTGATGGCGGTGGTGATGGTCATGATGATGATGATGATGATGATGATGATGGTGGTGATGATGGTGATGATGGTGATGATGGTGATGATGATGATGGTGATGATGGTGATGATTGTCATGGTCATGGTCATGATGGTGATGGTGACGATGGTCATGGTGATGGTCATGGTGATGACGATGACCATCATGATGATGATTATGATGAGGATGGTGGTGGTGATGGTGATGATGGTGATGATGAAGATGGTGATGATGGTCATGGCCATGGTCATGGCCATGGTCATGGTCATGATGGTGAAGGTGACGATGGTCATGGTGATGGTCATGGTGATGGTGATGGCGGTGGTGATGGTCATCATGATGATGATGATGGTGGTGGTGATGATGGTGATGATGGAGATGATGGTGATGATGATGATGGTGGTGATGATGATGATGATTATGATGGTGATGATGATGATGATGGTGATGATGGTGATGATGGTCATGGTCATGATGGTGATGGTGACGATGGTCATGGTGATGGCGATGACCATCATGATGATGATTATGATGAGGATGGGGACGATGACGGACTTACAAAAGAATAGCAACCTGCAAGAAAAGATGCCGATAAACATAATTTCACTGCTCGATGTTGTGCACATAGGAATTTTCTTTTCAGCATCTTTTTGGGGGGTTTGCTAGCCTCATTGGTCCATGGGTTTACTACAATACCAAATTGATTGGTCATAGCCCAAAAATTGATAATGGTACAGTAATGAGATATAATTTGACGATAAAAATGGTGGTGCTGAAAATGATAAGCATTGATAAGTAGCGTTACCCTCTGGTTATGGAACATAGCTACGGAAAAGTGACAAGTTGTAGATGATAATCATAGGACCGGATAACCCGGCATGTTAAAAACTTCACCAGACTTAGACTGAGCATAGAAAAGCAACAAGGGAAGAGGTATGAGAGTGATGGAGGGGTGATGGTGGGTGATGGAGGTGTGATGTATTGGATGTGATACTTTTGATTTTGATGATGATATTGTGTGTGGGAGGATGTGGGAGGACAGGCGGGAGGAAGGAAGGAGGAAGGAGCGGATACGGATACAGCACTAAAAACAAAAACCCCACACGTCAATGTGGGGAACCAAAGCCACCGGCAGAGCGGCGGAGACCAAGGGACACCGGAGGGACACCGGGGCGTACATCCGATTCCTTTGCAGTGCACCACGTCCCGCGCCTGCCACGCAAAAGCCACCGGCAGAGCGGCGGAGACCAACGGACACCGAAGGGACACTGGGGCGTACACCCGACCCCTTTGCAGTGCACCAAGTCCCGCGCCTGCCACCCAAAAGCCACCGGCAGAGCGGCGGAGACCAAGGGACACCGGAGGGACACCGGGGCGTACATCCGACCCCTTTGCAGTGCACCAAGTCCCGCGCCTGCCACGCAAAAGCCACCGGCAGAGCGGCGGAGACCAAGGGACACCGGAGGGACACCGGGGCGTACATCCGACCCCTTTGCAGTGCACCAAGCCCCGCGCCTGCCACGCAAAAGCCACCGGCAGAGCGGCAGAGCGGCAGAGACCATTGTGTGTGGGATGTGTGTGTGTGAGTGATGTATTGGATGTGATGCTTTTGATTTTAATGATGATATTGCGTGTGGGAGGATGTGGGAGGACAGGCGGGAGGAAGGAAGGAAGGAGGAAGGAGCGGATACAGCACTAAAAACAAAAACCCCACATGTCAATGTGGGGAAAAATGATGATTTACCATGATTTGCCAATTGATTTAATGGTGATTTTCCAGTTCACAAACCGTTAGTCATAACCAGACATAGATGGAAGACGACCATCGGTCATGAGGTGCTGGTCATTCCAATGCATGGTACTGGCATCCTCGTTGATCTCGATGTTAAGCCCCTTTATTTTTTTGATGAAAGCTGCTGAGATTTGTGGCGATTCTTTGCGCTGCAGTTGCTTCTTGTAATTTTCATGTAAACCTCCAACGACTCAACGTATGCGAATTTTGAATCCAAATTCGTGCAGATTTGGAAAAGCATAGATCAACGATTGTGGGGTGATCATCCCAATTCTTGGTAACCACGTGTCCATCGAGCCTCCTTGGCATGTTCCCGGCCAGCAACCGCATAGCTGTACCTCACCATCTACATGCTGGGAATGGAAAGGGTGGGCCATCAACAAAAAACGATAAGAAGATAGAAGAAGTAGGTATTAAGGCATGTACCATCTTCGAAACAGCAAAGTAAATATAACCTAAATAGACAAAAACATGGTTGACCTTGCATTGTGCATCTCCTCAGCCAATACTGATTAACAGCTATGGCCTTGTATGACCATTTAGTCACGCACAGTTGCTCCTGGGATCAGGGTGGTGACCCGGATCCAGGTCGCAGCTACGACACAATCAGGGTAGGTGTCCACATGTTCCCACCATCAACACAGTCCTTTCGATTCCTTTGAGAAAAACCATGAAAAACCTATTCATCGGATACCAGATGCCAAAACCTATGCGTGAACACCTGGCAGAAACTGCGCACGCAGCCGACTTGCTGGCCGGCGACGTTTTCATGGCCTCCTCCGGTGCAGGGCAAAGATTGGGAAGATCATTGAAAGATTGGGAACAGTCTCTATCTAACATTACCCTCTGGCAAACTAACAGATATAACTATGGAAAATCATAAATGGCCATTTTCAATAGCTATGTTAGTCATTACCAGAGGGTTACAGGCCTGGACTTTACTGTGGCAATGATACAGGGATCATCAGGAATCATTGCCCAGTGGACAACTGCAAGGTGGGCCTATCTGGAACCTGGAAACCCTGGCTTAGTGTTGGATCTATTCATTGAGTCCCACATAGGGGGTATTTTAAAGATTTGGAGGATGTGATTATTATGATTTTCTATCAATGTATATATATAATATCTCTCTCTCTCTCTCTTCCTTCTTTGTGGTTCGACATGAAACTGGCAAAGGAGTTCATCCACAAAACAGATCAAAACAGATGATTTGATCAAGAACACGAGCCATTTTGTGGGCCCTTCGGTGTCAGATTCTAGCTTTCCGCGTCGATGACTGACCAGCCTAGCTTGCAAAATCGGCATGAAAAGATTACCTCCAAGCCCGGATTTTTTAAAAAAATCTGCAAGCAAAGCAGATGCATCTCTTGGGTTTTTTTCCAGCCAGGGGTTCAATCGTAGATTTCCCCTTCAATCCAGTGAAAAAAGCGAAAAAAAATCTCCCAATTGCACCCACGGGCTAAATCTCCTGGATCATCTCATCAATGGCCTAGCGCTGTGGGAGTCTCCATTGAACTGTTTTTAGCCAGAAAAAACAACACCCAGTTCCCAATTTACCAATATAAAGTGGTGATTGAAACATACCCCTGCCCAAAAAAAATAGATTTGCCACTGCCTGCTGGTTCCATCTCTGCAATTTGGAATGGGAAGACCATCTTGGAGGAGACCCCATGAAGGCGGAGGTTGTTCGCCCCATGTTCCCAAGGTTGCTATCAAGGTGGGTACATACTGTCAGGAAAGTTTGTTGGTTTACAAACCCCATGAACTATCGACTATCGATATATATATATATATGATTATATATGTATATAATAGGCAGTTATATCCCCAAAAAATCCAACAGTTCACCAAGTCATGTGGATAACAACTCAGCTACATGGCTATATGGCTATATGGCTATATGTTAGATCTATGGGGAAACTATAGTTTTACATAAACATATACACAACTTGCTCGGCGATGTTGACCTGCCTTGCCATCGGCTTCCTCCACTGGGCCATTGAGGAAGCCACGCTTCAACCTCGGAGATGATGGGATATATTTATTACCCTCTGGTTATAACTAACAGTTTGCCACGGAAAGATCCACCATTTTTAAGAACGGTAAACTTCCCGGTAAACCATCTATTTCTATGGGCCATGGCTTCCATGGCTATGTTAAATAACCAGAGGGTAATATATATATATAGTTTAAATATAGGTCAACCCCGGATGAGACTAAACCATGGTTTATGAAAATTAGGGGGGTACTCCTCCAGTAGTCATTTCATCTAATACTTAAATGGTACCCTCCCAATTAAACAGCCGTTTGGGGTTTATTAATCCAGGGTTGATATTATAGGTCACGCATGGTCAAGCATGGTCATGTTGGGATGTTTTGCATCTCTGACCTTCAAAGCTTTTTCAAACCTACACAAAAAGTCCACAAAAATAAGTATGGATGTGGTAATTAAATGTAATTCATATTTATTCTATCTATCTATCCCACATTACCCCACTGTTCAATCTTCGAAGATTAAAGTAGATTAAAGAGATTTATTTATTTTAAAAAAAACATCAGTGGATTGGCAATTGAACTCACCCTTCCCACAGGGCCAGCTTTGGAATCAAGGCCTCCCTGCCCTCCAAAGCCCGAGGCTTTGGGCACTTGCACAGGAGGGGCCTTGCAGCGTCCCAGTCTAGACCGGTACCCTCTGGTTCTTTATGGCTATAGATCAGGCCCATTTACAGATGATAAAATGATGATTGTCCTATTATTCCAATGGTAAACCATGGTAAACATTGGTAAACCTTCCCCTCCCGACTTCTCAAAGGCCCACTTTTCCCCGCAGAAAGGTCAAGCTCAAGCAGCGCCAGAGATCTCTGGACGCCATGGGGCCCAAGTCGGAGGTGCCCTGCAGCACGGTGCTGCGCAAGGCATCGCGTTGCAGGGGCCTTTTTCGCAGTGTCAGGAAAGCGCTTTCGGCGGGGAAGGTGATTTGCCGTGCAAGGGCCTGGGCGAAACAAGGGGGAGATCATAGACTGTCAAGTTACCGTTGAAACTGTCATAGACTGAATAGGTCTTTCTTCTTGGACATATGGAAAATTATTCATGTTGATCCAGGCTTGATTATGTTTTCATCCATGATCGTCCCAATGGGTTCGGAGCAAATTTTGGAAGCCTGGCAGCCTGGTGGCTGTGGCTACCACAAGCACTTGGAAGCTGACAATGGTAAATGGCTAAGTGGCCATAATAGCACCTTCCCAAGTTTCTGGAGATGTTCAGAATAAACTGTTGATGCCCAGTCCCAGCTGCAAATTCCAAAGGATAGCAGCTGGCTGGCAGCAACGGCCGTAGCAAGAGTCTTGCAGAAACTTCGCGGCGCTGATTGATGTCAAATGCTTGGAACGATGGAATCCTTCCAATCTCCTAGACAGTCTCATGAGTCAAGTCATCAACTCTCTAAAATGTCAGATGACCATGTTCAGGGTGCATCCTAGACTAGTAAGTGGCTATTAGAAGATATATGAAGATATTATATGATATTATAAGAACCCCTGTGACCTGGGGCAAATCCCAGTGTTATTCGGTTATTTCATGTGGTTGCTACAGGTTGCTACCCACTTACTATATAACTAGGTCAAGCAGCATATCCAATATTGCAAATCCATGCCAATCATCCATTGACAGTTGGCTAAAAAATCTCGATCTTGCTGGGTTTTATCTCCATGTTGGCTTGTTTCACTCTCTATTTTTGCTGGTTTCAAGAATCATGTTGGTTGGTTTAAGTTTAATCCCCAGTTAATCCAGTGGGTTTACAAGGCCATCTTGGGGACGATTTCAGTCGTGTTTTAAGGGGAATTGCCAATGACTCGACCCATACGCGTCTCCACCGTCCTTTCGGATCTCCCCCACCGGCTGCGCCGTGGCCGCCGCCGACGTCAGCGCCAGCGCCGCGGCGTTGGCGCCGCGCTGCGGTAGCAGCCGTAGCGCCTGGCGCCAGCGGCGCAGGCGCACCAGGGAGCTGAGCACAGGCAGCAGGGCGCGGTCGCTGGGGACCTGTGCCGAAGTTCGCTGGAAATTTGGTGTTTTTCTTTACATCTTTTTACCATCAGCAGAGCCAAGGTAAACATGGATAAATTATAGAGAAGTTAAATAAGTCTCCTCTCTCTCCGCCATGTTGAAGAGTCTTGCCAAAGGCTAAAAGCGAGCCAAGGCACGGTGACACGATTACAGGAGTCAATAGTTGCTTTGCCTATGGCCTATTCTATCATTTCCAATTTGGTTTTCTCTAGAGGTTGGCAAGTGGGGACTCTATCCCAGCAGATCCAGTGATGTTTGGTAATCATCACCATTTATGTTCACATCCCGAAGAATAGCCTCAGTTTTGTGCTGTGAACTGCGGTGCAACACATCCCTATTGAAATGCTTCCTTTCGACACTGACCCAGGGCACCATGGGTGCTGATTCGTCGTTCAAAATGCCCTGGGGTTTTCTCCACCTGCATCAGCTCCATGGCCATCTCCCAGCGCTTGGCCGCCGCCAGCGCCCCCAGCAGCGCGTTGCGCACGCTGCCGTGGCCAGCGCTGCCAGCGGTGACGAAGAGCTGCAGGGCGGACGGCCAGGCGATGGCCACAGCGCAGGCCGTCAGGGCTGCGGAAATGGCCTGGGGTGCCCGGAGATGGCGAGGGTGGGCATAGGTTGGACCATAGGTTGGACCAAAAATCAAGGGGGTTGTTTCCCCAAAAAAATGGGAACTTTGACCACCAAAGATGATGAAACATGGTGATTTCAACAGAATGAGGATTCATAGTTGGCTTGTGATAGCATGTGATAGCTAAAGTCGGATTGGTTCACCAACATTTCACTAGGAAGATGCTGGAAAATGGCCATGGGATAATCATGATAGCAGGCAAAACATCTACAAATGGACAATTTCCCTGGCTATGTTAGACTACCAGAGGCTGGCAAGATGATAAGAACATGGCATCAACGGCAACTTTTCCATTTAAGGTTAGATGGTGTTAGATTTATCACTATTTCAGGATTGGAATTTGCATGATTTTGCTCGCTTCTCCCTTTTGATTCTTTTTGGGGATTGCTAGACGTTTAATGAGGGGTTTGAGAAGGGCTACCCAGCGATCTCTTTGATCAATGGCTGGATGTCCCAGTCACAGTGGGGGACGACGAATCGAGAAGCTGCAAAGCCTTGCGCCAGTTGCTTCTCTGCACCTTGGGACCCAGGGGTTTGGGACCCGTGGATTCTTGAATTCAAAGTGATCAATGAATTGGTGTAAGGGAAAAATGGTGGAAAAATGTTGCTTAATGTGTTTAACCATCAAACAGAAGGAATTAGCATGATTTAGCAATATAATGCAGGATTGGTTTCAGAGAAAATCTACAGGAAAACCCGGATTTTGACCATCAAGCATGAGGATTTCCTGTAGATGCTCCCTTCATCCAGTTCTGGGAATTGAAACACAACCCTGGCATCTGAAGGTAGGTCTTCCTAAGGGGGAAAAACACCTGGGAGATTTCCACAGTGGGGGAAAGGGCACTTTTCTGAGCACAGTGTCGTTTGAGTGCTAGTCTTGTGCAATAACCACACTCCATACAACACAGACCATAGACAAACATACCTGGTGCATATTAAAGTATATTGTAGCTCGCCCAGTTTCGATCACCAGTTCCATCATTTCGTTTGGTCGTCGGCTTAGCACTTCCTCCAGTTCTTCCCTGCCGAGATTCAAAGGATGATGTGAGGGAACTCAAGCTAAGTGCGTCGGGCACCAAACGTCTTGCAGAAAACCTGGTCACTGCAGGCACCACAACTTTCTCGTAGACAAAAGCTGGGTTGGTTGAAGGGAGAACCTACAGAAAAGCTTTACCAGTCACCCCATTTTTGTGACTTGAATCCCACTTCTTCTTGCTCTCAGGAAATCTCATGTTTTGCGTTAAGTTGTTTTTTCTAGCTCTTTCTATCCCTCGCCCCAAGCCCACCACCACCCTAGGCCAATTGCATATTGTTTGGACCCAGTTATGTGCGAGATATCCTAATCACTGTCATTATTCCATCCCCCAACCTAGGTAAATCCCGACATTTGTGGCTTCAATCCCCAAATTTTTGACTGGATGAGGCCCCCCAGTTGTAAGTTGGTTTGAAAACCCCATGAATACTGTAGTATAATATAATATAGTCATAATCTCCCATAAAACATAGTGTCCCAAGTTATGTGCTTCAAGGTAGCTGTCGTTTTGGGGCCTGACCGTGTAGGTCATGGGGCATTTGTAGTATATGTATATCTCTCTCTCTCTCTCCATCGCCATCTCAGGAGATCAGCAGTCAAGCTGAAGGCGAGCTAAAAAGGTGACGTGGCAGGTCAGCACACAAGCTCGTTAGCCAGGCGCGTCATATCACCAAGCCACCGCAAAGGTAAAGTACAAATTTCTGTTACTATACATAAGGGGTCAAAGGGATGAAAATGAATAGGTAAAGATCCTAGCAAATCGGGCAGCCTCTCAGCATGTGAATCTTGATGAAAAAGGAGCACCTTCAAGTGAAAAGTGCTGGGCCGAAGCCACCCTGTTGCCAGAAAAAGTTCCAGGATGTCGTGAATGGATTGAGTGCCCACTGGTGCCCGGTGGCAGCGCCAACCACAGCACCGATCCAATTCCAGTACACTGATAGCCGCCGAGTCAGTGATATCACAGACAATCAGCTGTTGACCATGGAACGTTCCTTGTAAGCAACGTCTTTCCCACAAGTATTTGGTGCTAGAGATAGCATAAACATTGGCCCCAAAGAGCTCGGCAACAGGCAAGCCTTGTGCAACCAGCCAGCCATGCTCCCTCTCTGCCCACTGCTGGCGGCAGGCTGCCGCACCAGCATCAAGCCCACAATGGTTGAGATACCGGATATGTATATATATATATATAGTTAATTACTCACATTTCCAATCATTTTCCATGATATCCCATTAAATATAAACACATTGTAGTTGGGAAAACGCCATAGTTAAGAGCACTATTTTCAGGTTCCAATCCTTTGCGCCTCAATATCGCCATCGCATCCCTACACCGTAAAAACCCTGTGAATTGCCCTAAAATCCCTATAAATTACCATAAAATTACACTCAAATGACTCAAATCCCATTAAATCCACCATTTTTTCTCCTTCTCCCCATCCCATCTCCATCTCCCACCTCTGCATCAGTTGCACGGCCACTCGCCAGCGCCCACCCTTCGCGCAGGCGCTCAACGCCACATTGAGGCAGACCACGTCCAGCCGCAGAGACTTCCTGCAGGCGGAGTCCAACAGCAGCAGGGCCACCGTCCAACGGGCCTGCCATGACAGTTCCGTGGGAAAATCCATGAAGTGACGTGGATGGGAACTACATGGAACTAAGATATTTCAAAGCACTTGCAGTCTTTGAGTTTCAGAATGGGTTAATTACTGTATTTGTTTATTCAATGTTATTCATTGTTTTTCGTTCTTCCTGTAGTTTCATGGGTTTTCGGGTTGCAAGTGCGCTTTCAAGACTTGACAGGATATTTCATGGTTCAACAGTTCATAACTGTTCGATCCCAGCCGTTTGCTAACTAAAGCCCTTTGGAGATCATCCACAAACAGTCCGGCGATGAGGAAAACGGAAGGCACCGCTTTCCGAAAGTGGTCACTGAGCATATGCTGTAACACCTTCCATGGATAAATCTCGAATACATCCATACCCTCTGGTAAACTAACATAACTATGGAAAATCACCATTTTTAATGGGTAAATCAACTAAAAGTGGCCATGTTCAATAGCTATGTTTGTTTACCAGAGGGTAAATCTCGAATATATACATACAGTATATCTTAATCCAAAGCAGGTTTCCTCTGCATGGCCCATCTTGAAACTTCAGTATGCCGGCAAAGTTATTCCATTCTGCTCATCACGATTTCCTATCTTATTTAGTACTCTAATTAGATTAATTGGATACTGCAGTGCTCTTAATTTATCCCATTGCTAAACAACCAGATTGACCACAACTCCAGCTGTGACCCCCCCATCCCACGTCACCGTCCGTTGTGCTCCGCTCATCGCCGCCGCCAGCGCCGTCGCGCCGCCCGTGGTCGCCGCGTAGAGCGCCAGGGCGCGGCGCCACTCGGAGGCGCGCGCGCAGGCGACGATGGCCAGACGGGGGTGGAGCCGAAGCACCTGCTGCCACCTGGGGATTCTGATGGGATTTCTCACCCAAAAAATCGTGGTTTGGTGGTGAAAATAAAGGGATATCATGGGATTTCAATGTGTTTTTTTGGGGGAACTATAAATTATAACTATACGTAACTTGATGTGATTTGGGATGGGGATGTGGGATGCTACTTGGGTGGATGTTTGCTGAAATAAATGGGTTTAATGAGATAACCATAGATAACCCCCGTTTGTAGATGATTTTCCCATTTAACCCTCATTGAAATTGGGAATTTCCAGCCATCTTTGATGAGTCAAAACTTGACCCGCCTGGAGTCACGAACTGCCAACGCCAGGCTCTGTCGACAAACACCTGCCACGTAGAAGAGTTCATGGCCTTGGTTTAATATCTACATAAATAGATATATATATATATATACATATAAGGTCTTGGCCCCAGCCCCTATTCGTGCCCAGGGGTAGGGTATCCGATCACCGTTGGCCATAACCTTAGCGGGGGGAACGTGCTGTCCCCGCGGGTCCTGTGTGCTGCGGACCTCTTTCGAGTCCCGGCTCGTTAATCCCGGGTTGTACTGAACTGCTGCGCGCTGGTACATTCACAGCCTTTGTGCCTTAGCTGGCGTTGACTTGCTCCGCGGCTGTGGTTGCATCGTGCTCTCCCAGGTTTTCCTGGTGACCACCTTCACTGCACTGGATCCTCTTCTTGGGTTTTACGGTGTATGTGTAAGGCAATTTTGCTCTACTTGTCCCTCATTTTGATTCTGAACAAGGAGATTCTGATTTCAGGTGAGGACAACGGCGACAAACACGCAGAGAAGGCACGAGAGACGGAAAAGAGCGAAAGCCCGTTTGGATTTTTGGTTACATCGTCGTGGTCTTTGTCATCAATCTTCTGCGGGTCTTCTACGCATTTACCGGACTCTCTCTTCACATCATTCGAAGGACATTGTTTTCCTTGGGAAGATCAAAGCAGCAATGTCCTCTTTCAAGAAGGAACCCTGGCGTTGCATTATTTGCAAAAGACTGGCCAAAGGGAATGCACAATTCTGTCCAGAATGTGGGAGACACTGGCAGGAATGCGTGGATTCATCTTTTGTCAGCGGCAATCCAGAACAACATCATGGAGCTCATCATGCCGGAGATGCCTACCACAATCAGTGGCATGGGAAGCAAAGTTATTCTCAGAGCCCACGTCGGCGCCAACACAAGGCGTCTGCTCAGCAGAGAGGCAGCACTCCGAGAGGGAAAGGCTACAAAGGGCAAGGACGCAAGGGAGGTTTGAAAGGGAAGGATGCTTCAAAAGGGATGGCTCAGCAGCAGCCTGGTCCTTATTTGGCGCCTCCACCTCCTCCTGCCCTGCCCGAGTGGACAGTGGGACAAGGAGACACTGCCTGGCCTATTCCACCAGCTTCATCGACTCCTGCTTTGGCGACTCCTCCTGCGACTTTGGCACCTTCGCAGGCGGAGGCACAACTCAAGCAGGTTTTGGCGGTTCTTCAGCAGAATGCGGACTCATTGCCTCCCCAGATACAGGCTGTGGTGAAAGACACCAACATCAAGGAGAGCAAGCACCAGATCAAGAACATGCACCAAGCTGTTACGGAATTGGGCAAGGCGCAGCGACAGCTGGAAGAGGCATTGTCCGAGAGGTCACAGTCACTTGCATCGTGGAGGCAATTTCTTCATGCAAGTGTACAGCGTTGGAGCGAATATACAAAAAGATTTCAAGACCAGGAGCAAGCTCACCTAGCCACCATTGCTCAAGCACGGGATACCCTACGTGCTGCACAGATTGCCTTCAAAGAGAAGCAAGATCAAGGAGGCATCATCACAATCAACGACGAAGAGGAGGCAGTGCAACCAGACGTGGCCATGAGAGACGAAAGTGCCCATCGGATCAACGAGGGACTTCAGCAGCTCACTTCGTCGCTGCAGGAGCTCGCACATCAAGCAGATCGAGATCATGCAGAAGAGCAGACCAAGAAGAGGCCGAGAACCGGTGCTCTCATGGAAGAGCAACCGGGAGAAAAAGCTTTGGATGGAGAAGATGGGTCTACCAAGCCATCTTTTGGCTAGGCTCACAGCATGTGACCTCAGAGTACATCTGTGGGAAGCCTTTGCAGTGTCATGGAGATTTTCCTGGATGGGATTTTCACCATAGTATCATGGAAGAATCGGACTTTTGCTCCATTTCGGAAGCATTGTCCCGTGCGCATATCCTCACCTTTGAGCTTGGCATTTCATTTTCCTTGGAGAGCAGTATCAATCCTTATTTTGCGCGCTCTGTCATTAAGAGGCATGTGGGTCGCCCTTCTTTTGATGAGAGTGTTACTGTTCTGCTTGGACTGGATGAAGAACTTGCCATGGGTGCCACGACTATTTCTCATGAGCAGCTTTCCCATTGGCAAGGGAAGCCTTGGGCTTTACGTCCTCAAAGTTTTGAACAAGAATTGTGCCACCTGGAACCGCTGTCCGAAGAGGCCGTGTCGATCCGGTGTGCACCTTGTCATTCCAAATGTCGACTTCTGGACAACTGGTTAGCTCCTACGCCAGCTGATATGCACAGGGATGTTCCTGTTCCGGACCCTGATGTGATTCCAGATCCTTTTCATGCGCCACTTTTCATTCGAGATCTTTTGACGGCGGCGGATATAGCTGGCGCTTTCACTGACCTTGATGCGGAGGACACATTCCGTATCCGTACTTGGTACATTCACCACCAGAACCATCGCAGAATGACCTTGTCTCGCAACATTGAGCTCTACGAAGATTGGAGAACATGGGAGCGTGACTTGACTTCTGCATGGAGAGACTTTATTCATCCGAATGAGGAGATCAGGTACCAGATAGTGACGCCAGACCCCTATCGGGGGTATGAACAACAAGTTCTACATGCAGACCTCATTCTTTCTCAAGGAGAATGGTTGGATCGAAGAGCAGGTTTGGTCACACTGCACTACCATGGGAGACAGGCGGCACCGTTTGTCTATGCAGTGGCAGCATCATTTCCTGGCCGGATCAGTGGTATGGACGTCTCTGACATGGCTCATGCTACAAATTGGTGCCTTCAAGGACACAGATGCAGAATCACGCATGGCTGGCAAGAGCTTCCCTTCACTCGCACCCCTGTGCATGTGATGCATCATGGACACTCCTTCCAGCTTGTCATCAATGCAGCAGAATTTGGAGACAGCTCTGGTGCTCTGGCTCCAGACGTACCTGCCACTGGCTCAGGTGAACCAGCTGGATGCAGTGCTCCTATTCAGGACTTCAGAAATGCTGATGCTGATGCTTGTGATTTTGACTCCCCACAAGATGATCCAGAAGGTAGTGGTCCGGAGAGCAGTCCGGATGATGTGCATCACAATGATATGGGAGTTCATGTTTACAGGCTTGGCGAACCTGATTTGCATGGCTTGAGATTTTGGATCATATCATTCGTCTTCAGCATCTACCACGCCATGAGATCCGGTGTTTTCACTTTGTTTCTGCCACTCCCGTTGGGGTGCACCCTGAAGCTGAAGAAGCACTTATTCTCCAATCCATTCATGATATCTCCCCAGGATCAACGGAGAAACTTGTGTTGGTTGATGTTGAAATTCATTTCCATCCACTACCGACTGGCTTGCATGTTCCTGCTGCTACAAGTCGGAGAGTGATGCGAGTGATTGATCAACTGCATCGACGACAATTTTTGTTGCTGGCAGCGCTTGATGATTACTGTGAGCTCCAATCTGGTCGTTGCATGATTTTTCAGAATCACAATCTTTGGCATGAACATGACCGCACTGTTCACAAAATTGAGCATGGGGACTATATTCGGATTCAGGTACCACCGCCTGATGATCCTAGTCTGGACACGGAAGTGGCTATTGCGATGGCTCGTGATTTTGGCATTGATCGTACACAACTTTGCCACGCACAGGGCAGCTCTGCCTCCTTTTTCCAGGCATCAGCTGAAAAGATGCAGATGCATTTAGCTGAATTTCAGTCTCAACTTGGGGCTCTCCATGAACTCAGTGTTGACAACCTGCTGCATGAATTGCGTTGGTTTGACCAGCAACCACGTGGATCAACCACTGGTAGGACCACGTCCATTCAATCCAGCAGAAGTGCTTTTGCGACAGGACATGGATCTCGTTTGAGTTCAATTGTGGATGAGGCAAACCTTGTTGAGT